GCTTAGGGTGTTCTTAAAGCAGAAAGCCCCAAGGGGTGCAACAGGGAACACAGAGCAGGCATGCGGTTAGCTCAAGGGGCTGCTGCGTTTGAAAGCTTGCAAAGGGAGCTCTAGAGCTTCCAGCGTGGCTACATGATTTCCCAGCCACTTTGTAGAGCAGAAACATACTTTTCCCCAAGGCGGATACGGTAATCAGCAGCTGTGCAAGAAGAGGAGAGAGAGGCTGCAGGATTTCATGGACAGTAATGGTGCAAGGCCTTTGTATACCGGAGTTTGCACGTTGTATCCCCTTGATGGCATATTGGTGACCAGAAGGTAAACCAGTATATTTGAGTAACAATTCATGAAGTTACTGTTACATTTATCTGTACCTCTGTAGGTGATACTGTGTTTTCACATATCGGTCATTTGAAGGCTGAATGCAAAGAATGTAAAGAACACTGAATAGTAACTATTAAGCACACAGAATAATAATAATAAAAAAAAGATGCACCTTTAAAAGAAACAGTAACACACGCACCTTTTCATGTTTGTACCCTGATTAAAAGAACACCATGAAGTTCAAGTATGAAGTGATACAGTGAAATCATGTCCTGTGAGTAGGTATCAATGGTAGTCTAGGTAGTACAGTCTGCGTTTTAGGTAACTTTCCACCTTGCAAAATAAAATCCTACTGGATGTGTAGGTAAAGTGACTTGAAATGTTAAAACTCAGCATGCCAGCTGTTCGGCTGGTGTAAGCTGACAGAACACTGTAGAAGTCAACAGGACTGTGCTGATTTTCACCAGCTGATTATATGCCCTAAGGTGAATGAAACAAAAAGTATATTCAAAACTGCTTTGCATGTTTGCCTTGAATTACACCTCCAGAGCAAATCCTCTTTTATTACAAAAAAGGGGAAGAAAAAGAGAAAAAATTAAGCCAAACAGCATTAGAAGCTGTTTTAACTTTCCAAATGTTTTTTATGTTCTTTTTTTTTTTAATGTAAAATCATACTGAGAAACAAAGGTACAGAGATGGACTTTGTTTGCTAATGGATGTTGGCCTGATGTAATATGAATGAAGGTAGTCTGGACATGTCTCAGAAGCTGTCCTCACTGTTCATAGTATTCTGTAAACCTGAAACCCCATGTTTTTATTTTCTTTTGAGAACATAACTTTTCTTGCAGATTCTGAAACCAGTGTCCCATGAGAGTTACTAACAGGCTTAACTTTCTACATGTCTTCTGTTAACTTCAGTGGAATTTGTAACATGTAAGGTAGGCACAAACGGAGTGTCTGGAGCAGTACGAATTGAATCTTATTTCTGGTACATTTCCGTACCAGCATCACGCTTTTCTCCACATGTCCCGATGCCACTAAGAAGTGCACTTCTGAACTCTTGTATAAAGAAGTAATGAATAGAAATGTTGAGAGAAATAATGTTACTAGAGTTAAGATTTTTATCACACATTACCATTTATATAGTATTCTTGCTGATTTACTAAGCTTAAGTATTTTCATATAGACCTGAGCTGCCTGACGCTGGAATTTGTAGACTTACAAGGTCAAATTCTTGGCTTAATGTAACTGTAGTCAGTGGAGTTACAACAGAAGGAAATTATGCTAGATAATTTGAAATACTTTGAAACCCCAATCGGATTTCATGCAATTGTGCATGCACAAAAAAATACCTAAATTTGCTGCCTTTATGGTTTTGCTTAGCCAACAATCTTACTTAAAGCCCAGATGGGCAACTTTATCACTGCAAAAAAACTTTCTTCAGTTACAAGATGCCACACAAACTTGGCCCCTGGCTTAAGAGTCTGGAATTGCCAGATACCTGCTGGTCCTGCTACAAACAAAATGAAGCCAAAGGCAGCCTATGTAATGTTCTCTAACTTTATTTTTTTCAGACAACATTCCCCTGCTATGTGTAAGATTAGCTCTACAACAGCATTTCAAAGTAATCTGCTTATTACTTTACATACTTAAACAAACAAAAATACCCTAAAGCATAAAACATACTACATCTGAACACACATACTACCCTAACTGCAAAACTCAATGTACAGTATGAAGCTTGTTTATACTTTTTTTGACTGATCTAGGTTTCTTCCTCTATGAAACTAGCTTAACTTCAACAACCAAAATGTATACTAAATGCAAATAAACAACAAAGCAGCAAGACTCAACACGTGTTTTGGCAACTACCCTTTCACAGGACTAGTGTGTTTTCATCAGAAATAATATACTGAATTATAATAGCAATAATTTAGGTTAATGTCAGGTAACTTGCAGATAAATGTGTCCACATCTTTGATAAACACTGACCCCATTTATTGGTGTCTTGGTGCTGTTATTAACCATGTGTCCTCACAACTACAGTCAATTGCTAAAGGAAAGCCTTTTTCTGCAAATACTTTCTTGTGAGCAACTATACTCCCGTGAGCAAGCCCACTTAGCTTTGTGGGACTGCTCAGGTGAGGCATAGTATTCATGTGTTTGCATTCTTAGGCCTTCAGGATGGAGAGGATCAAGCTAGTGAGGAAATACAAATACACACTGTTACACTGAAAGTAGCAGACATACAGACGAAAGCACCCTGTGATGCTTTCAGGAGTTATAATATAAACACTATTTCCCAAGTATACAGCTCAACTTCTAAGACATCATTTTGAGGGTATAACTTTCCTTTAACTAGAGCATTCAAAGACATTATACTTCTAAAGCTGTTCAAAGTAATGCAGCTAAATATTACATTAAAAATAAAACTGATGAGATTCTGTGGCAGACACAGAATTGGAATGAAATGGACCATAAATACATTAATCTGAATTCTTGAAAGGAATTTACAAAGAAATTAAAGACTAAAAGAAAAGAATAAACGGGTGCCCGTGGGCTTGGTTTCAGTGCCAAAATCATACGGCTTTGTGTAGAAAACAGATTCTATCAGAAAAACAAACAGCATCTTTACATTTTCTCTATCTGAAGTACCCTAAATTGTGTTTCTCACCTTAACAGAAGTAACTGCTTTGTCTGTGAAAGGTGCCTGGCTAAGAGTCCTTAAGACTCATTCTTTACTGAAAAGTACTGCCATAATGGAAACTTCTTATTCCTACACTGCCATGACTCTAGGTGGGTTGTAGGAGGGGAGTTCAGTCTCCAGAAAAAGATTTTGAACACTGTGGAGAATGACAGCAAGGTTATTTGACAGTGCTGAAGGAAGGTGTCATGGATACTGAATTCTGTTTGTTGGAATCTAAACAGGGAAACTCATTCACTTAATACTGACCACCAGAGAGCAATCAAAACTTTAGACAGTGCTGGCCTGCTCTGATTTTTGAGCGGGGAAACTAGAGTAATGCTTTTCTATTCAACTTAGTATGCACAATAGGAAGGAGAAAGGTGGTGGTGGAAGTGAAATAAAACAAATTGAAGCAGAACAAAGTGGAAAACCACTGGTTTGCTAGACATCTAGCAAGAAAAAAGGGAAAGATGGATTGATCTTTGCAGTCCTTTCAGCCTGTAATCTCAGGACACTGCAAGCCTTCTGTCAAGTTATGACAGGCAACTTCAAAATAAGTAAGTTCAAAATGCGCGTGTCAATCAATACTTCCCGATGAGCACATCCACACTGAGCTTCAATAAGCTACCTTGTTCAGTCTCATATCCACAAACTTCTTGCCAGCATCCAATTTCTGATGTGCTTTTTTGTTGTAGTTGCAACCCACGGTTACAGTCACCTTTGTTGCAAGACAAAGTCCCTGCAAGAAATCTTGATGGATTTTGTGTCTTGCTGGAAAAAGATTGAGAAACATGGTCAGATTTGGAGTCACCCTTCTTGTGTAGTGAGAGAGCTTTCTTAAGGAAGTTCTTAGAAATGCAAAAAAGTTGACTGTCAGAAACAGTGAAGATCCTGGAAAAACTTTTCCTTGGGAGAATATACTGGGGGTTAAGGTCCATTTGTGCCTACTACTTGTGGCAGGCTCTTTACTCAAAGCTGCCGTAGAAAAAAACAGATGAATGAGTGTGACTGCCTACATGTGCCCAAGTTATTCTGAGAGCTGGGGACCTTCATAAAAGAACTGTTTCGTAGTTGCTCTGCCTCACACTGGAAGGAAACCTGTCCCTGGGAACAGTGATTTTGGGGAAGGGGAAGGAAAAGGGAGGGTAAGCAGTAGGAGATTTGCATCTGTTAAAAACTTCTGTATAACAGAAGCACCATTGGCTGCTCTTGTAAATATGTACAACACAGACAGTTATCCAGGGATCTTCTATACTTGGTAACTTTTTGAGATAATCTTCTGAATCAAAAATTGTTTTGGCCGATCAAGCACATTATGTTCAGTCCAATCTATTCTAGCTCATCTCTTTGCCTGAACCAAAAAGTAGCAGTTTCCCATATTGTACTGTAGTATTTCCCAGTTCCAAATGAGAAGCTAAAAAAAATTACAGTACAAGTCATTGGCTGCCTGCAGACTCGAAGGGGCTGCAGAATCACAAGGTAGTAATTTAAAAGCTCACAGCTTCTTAAGGGGCTGTGGAAGTACCAGCAGGATCAGACACAAATGATAGGTAACCGTCACTGCAGTGAGAGAAAGCAGGATGTTGAAGGACTGTTGAGGAGTAGACAAACCCAGGGCTTCTTTCACAGTGTCACAGTAGGATGATCTGGGATAAGGAAAGGACAGCTCGAGTGTCTGGGTGATCTATCACTGCATGTATTTAACAAATGCCAGAGAACTACAGTGTAGAATTAGAGGTTTCCCATTCCTGAAACTGTGAAATTTGTCTCTGTGCCAAGCTCAGCTGCTCACACTTAGTGGAAGGACCAAAATTAGCTGCTCTGAACCAACATACCCAGCCACTCCACACATGGACTAAACACAACAAAATGCCATACAGGCCTTATTTGCTATGGGTTTTGGAGGTGGCATAACAATAGGTAAGGGTAGCTGTCAGGTTGTCAGAGCAGCTCAGGAAGTTCCATTCCTGCTGTACAACCTACAAAAAGACTTCCATAGCAGATGGTTCTGCAGTACTAGTTACACTGGGTGTTGGACAAACTTCCTAGGCTCTCAGACTTGCTCCTGTAAGATGGTGAACCACCTGCACAGCAAAACCTGCATTCAGATAATCTTATCAAAATCCAAGTGCTCAAAACCATGCCGTTCTGCATTGCCAAAGGGTTTTCATTTTGTGACAGGTGTCAGCTCGCAATGCACGGCAATATTGCACACTAACGGACACAGTTAGTGACCCCCCTGAGTTAGAGCTGTGTGTTCTCCACATCTGCAGCTGAGCTCCAGGCAGTGCCTGTGTGGCCAGTTTAACCTGCTCTCAATCTGTCTCATAAGACTTTTATTTCAATATCTACACAGAAAAACCTTTAGCTTCCTCCAACTGTGAGTTAAAAAATAGAGCTGTTGCTATGCTGAAAAACTGCACTGGAGCTCATGACTTGAGTTGGCATAATAAGTATCTGGAACTAAAATCTCATGCAAGAGTCTTGCTTTATCACTTGATGCTTAGGAAAGTGAATGACAAGTGAATGAAACTGAATGACAGAACAAAAGATGTGGAAAAAAAAGTCTTCCCCCTACACTTATACATAACTTTTCCACATACTTAAATTCACTTGCCAAAATTGTCCTGAACTCTCCCAATTCTCTGCTCATTTTCCTATCTTTGCAGCACTTCACGATTTTCCTCCCTCATCTAGCTACTCAAAATTGATCCTAACATTCAAGAACTGTTCTTTTTTTTCTTTCAAAACTTTCTTCTTCTTAAAAAAAAAAAAAAAGAAGAAATAAAAAGCTGAGGATTGCATAACATGACATACGTAAGAAATATGGAATTCCAGGAAAGGCTGCATACTGTAGAATGTTAATTGCAAATTCTTTAGGAGTAACTGCACGAAGGAAGCTGGCAGTCTGTGACAATCCATTTTCCATTCAGTGGCAGAGACAGTGCTCTTTGGCTGGGTTTAACATGAGCATGTCAATGGGAGCAAGTATCCATTTAAACACTAGAGAATGTGTCTGGCATGTGGATGGGTTTAAGGTATGGAAAGCTAAATAGTGTGGATGTAAATGTAGCTCACTCGAAAACAGACAGTGAGCTCAAGAGATTTACAGCAAAATAAATCACAAGTTAAACACTACCTGTTGTCTCCTCTCCTTTCAGTCAAATAACATAGGTCGCGTTAGTGCAAATTAACATTAAAATGGTAGTTACATACTTGGATGCTTTTCTTCCATAAAACCCTATCAACTTTGCAGGGTGAGTGAAAAAGTATCACTTCCAATGCATATTTAATATACATTGTTTGTATTTACATATTTTCACGTTATAAATAGGCTCCTTTTCACTTATCCCACCAATATTTTCCCAATAATGCCTTAAAATCTCCTTATTAATCTTTACTGTCAGTTGTTCGTTTGCTTGTTTTATTGAAAAGAATGCAGCATCATTTCTCTGATCTTTTTTTCAAAACAAAAAAACTACTCTACCACAATCACCCCATTTCAAAATATCCACAGCAAAATCTCTTCTTACTTTGTCTAGCCATGCAAAAGCCTCATTGACAACAGGCTGGATGAAGCCCACCAATATATTCTAACACAGATGAAACATTTAATCTGAAGGAAAAAAATGGCATATTGTTATGGAGTTTTGGTTTATCTGAAGCTGCTTTGCAGAGTCTTTCAATGAAGGCTGGAAATCTGAATATTGCAGAAGCTCTCACAGGGCTTTATTTAAGCCAAGGCATATTTTCCACTAACTTTACTTGCAGCAACCTTGGGCTTTTCTACCCAGAAAGTAGAAGGCTCATCTAAGCATGGTGCTGGCTGATTTCAGCTTCTGATGAACACATAAAGATCTGATGGTATCTACGTGGCTTTGCAGAATCTTTTTTTAAGCACAAGTTCCTGTTTGATTCAGTTCTGTCTGGCTGCCTATCACTGTCTGGATTAAAAACATATACATCATTTTTCAGGAATATTTTAAATGGAAAAATACATCAGTTTCAAAATTTTGACTGTTACAGCCAAAAGAATGATTTTCAGCTGGTTTCTGTGCGAACCTGATGAGTGCTTTAAAATTATTATCTATGCACACTACTCCTAAGTGGGTTTTATGGTTCTTATTTTGTATTTATATTGCATATCAGTATGCAGTATTTGCTAAGCTTAAAACTACAGAGAAGAAATAAGACTTGGCAAAAGCATATTTGTCAGTTTGTATGTCCACATCTTTCATCTTTTAATGGCCTAGTTATGAGAAAGCTTCTTATTGTTTTACATAAATTACTGGGAGTTGATGGTTACAGAGTCTGGTCCAGAAACTAGAATTATATTACAGCCATTATCTAACAATTTGAAAACCAAAGAGATAAATAGCTCACAAATAATATCTATTTAAGTTGTACAGCCTGTTAGACTGTTAAAATTGTAGTCATGTTTTTGCATACCTGAACTGTACTTGAACAAAGAACTTGGGTATGAAAATGAAACTTGGAAGGTTAAACATATAAAATCCCATTTACTTTTCTTGAGATTGTTTCTGATTTGTTTTTTTCCTTCATGGAAAGTATACTCTGATACTTAGTAATCAAAAAGAAGCAAAAGAGATAGCTTATTGACAGTTACTGGAGATTTCAGTATATAACATGTTATTTTTCTCTGTGAAAGTAGAAACACATTTCTTAATTTTTCCCATACAACTGCAGCTTGGAAAAATGTTTTTTCTAATATACTAATCTCAAGAAAATAATCATTTACACATTAGGAGAAGTGTGAAATCTATTAACATCAAAAAAGATCTTGGTATTTAGCAGTTTTGTAGCAATAAAATAAATGTTAGGCTCCTAAGCTTGTGTTCCATTCAAGCTTCAAGCATAACACAGCAAAATCATTCTAATAGCCTAGAATCTTCTAATTCACATTGTATATAAAAATCAATCTATTCCTGAAACTACTGTATATGAAAAAATACTAGCAAAGTGGTTCTATAAAACAGAGTTCTTAGAATAAAATTCCTCCTTATTCAACTGTGTCTGATACATGCAATATAATTAATTTACGTGGCCTTTTAAACCAACCTGTGTGGTTTATGATTCATATACCTATTTGACAACTGATGTGTTTTCAGCTGTGAGTCTGGTAAGTGCTCCAAACTGGCTGGTTAAAAGACCAAACCAGCATGATTTCTTTTTATTTTCCGTATTAAAGTTGACCTAATACCTAACAGCAGAGAGAATCATATGTATAATAAAACATGCTTCTCAAAGACAGTGAGCGAACCTGTGAAAAGTAGTACGGCACAGTATTTTCTTCTTATTCACCGAAACAACCATCGAGTGTAAAAAAACACACGAGAGTTACTTATGATGCTGGGTACCACCCCTGACGCAGAAGATGCTCGAATACTACAATTTACTGATTCATTTCATGTAAAAGGCTCTGTATGCATAGCACCAAATGTCAGTATTTTGCAAACATTTTGTCCCCCTTTTTTGGTGTGTTTTAGGACAGAAACAACAAAGAAAAGTACTCTAACATTTACCATTGTGGACTAACAGCTTGAAAAAACCCTGGAGTGTGGGTGCAGCCAACACAGAAATATGCAGACCCTATTTGCAGAATTTTACTTGGCGCACAGAAAGCAACACAGCTGTATGAAGAACTAAGGGTAAGAAAAGAGGCGCACAAAGGGAATCTTTCTAAATTGTCAGTTCTGGACTAAACTGAAGCAACGCTTGGTAATACGCTGATACTGGGTAGCTATGGAAAATTTGGAAGAATCTTGTTGGAAATAGCACCTGTGTCACTGAAATCTGTTTCCATAAGGAAGTTGAGCAAAGAACTAAAAGTCTAGAATGAGCGTGGAGACAGGGTGAAGACTGAAAAGAGCTGCTTCAGATGTATTGCAATTAGCACTTCACTAGCTGGCTTTGGTGATTTTTTTCCCTTAGCTAACTGGGCCTGTTTTTCTTGCAAAATTATGTAGTAGTGATAAAAAAAAAGGTTGGTGGGAAATAGAAATCACTCCTTCCATTACTAAGAACACCCTGTTCTCTGCTGAGGAAAGCACAGTGCCTGGTTGTGGGTGCTCTAGAAGCTAAACATCTATACTTATTTTTATGTATCTTTTGTTATTCAGTGGTTTTTAGCTGCTGTTGAACTGCTCCTGTAGAACACATACAGGCATAGTTATTGCTACGAAGAATTGCACTCTGAAGTCTTATTTAAAGGATGCATGAAGAGTTTGCACCACAGTCTGGAACATGTGTGTCCAGAAACACTTTCTTTTTCACTGACACAATTCCAACATCCTACACATGGCAGTAATGAGTAAAGGTACACAAAATACTAGGGCCATACCAGTAAAATAAAAAGAGCAAGGGCACATGCTCAAGCACGGTCCCACAGTTGTATGTACTGTCTAATTATGAGCATGATTCTTGCCATGATTTTATCCAGTGCCGGCACTTTGCCCAGCCAGAGAAGAGGCTTTCTGAGTTTACTAGTGTAAGTGAAACCCCATGGTTTGGCAGGGAAGACTGGAATATGAGCAAGCCTATGGCATGTCAAATGGAATTTCTTCCTAAAGAGATTTTCGAAGGGAAGTCAATTGAGAATTTGTTGGTTCTTGGAATGTAGGACTTTGCTACTGCAATGGTCCTATCAGATAAGTCTTTTCCCTAAACCTGACAAGACAGAACTTAGGTTCCTTTTTTTGTTCCTGCCATTCCCACTGGATATTCCAGAATATGACCATTAATGCAGCCCTTCTCAAGCTGTTCTCTCAAATACCCCCACTTATAACCTTATCCTGTATTAGACAACATACAGCACCATGCTGCGGAAGCTCTGCTGTGATTCCATAAGCCAGCTCCTGCTTTTCTCTGCTGCTCTCCGAGCTCTTCTTCTGATACTACCGGTTGAGAAATACTGCTTCAGTAGTTAACTTCCTTGTGATTTCTACATTCTCATTAGTTTTTGGGCCAACATTAACCTTTGGCTTAAAATGTTCTCTTCCCTTCGTAGAACAGATGCACACCTCTATCTGAGAGTTCTGAGCCTAATTTGAAAATGCCCTCTCCTCCCCTACATTTTCACCTATGCTAGTTGTTGGAGACTTCTGGGAGAGTTCCCTGACAGCTGCTGGAAAGCTGCACCAGCTGAATGCCCTGATAAAGTATGTATGATGTCCTGGAGCTAGGTAAAATGGGGTAAAATTTTTAAAGATGCTAAACTGTGTCAAAAATGTTCTTGTTTGTTACTGTCACAAGATTCTTCTGAACTTTGGTTCTGTTTGTTGTTCTAGTTAGTGTTTAAAAATGGTTAGCAAAAATTTCACTCTGGCCCATCCTTTTCTTAAAACCTATTCACACTCAGGTCCATTGACACATGGAGGAGTAGGGCTGGGACAACATCAGGGCAGTGAGTTCACAGTTACCCTTCTATGGAGGAACAGAGAGAATGACAGAGGCAAGGCCAAGGTTAGAGGGTTAGCTGCCATGACTGCTTCCTGGCCTTCAGCTTGCTGCTCGCAGAGCTTCCAAAATCCTTGTCTTTTGCATCTGCAGTATCTCTGTGTGCAGATGCCTTGTGCAGGCTCTTGCCAGGCCTAATTTGCAACTTGCCTGTTCATGCTAGTAGGTTTCACACAGGCATCATCCTGGGCATGAAGAAAAGCACAGGCCACTGCACGCATGCATGCAAGTGGTCCTTTTAAAATCTGGCTTATTTAAAACAGACCTAATTTAACCATATGTCTCATACTTACATGTCTAACAATAAGGAAAAGCTTTATCCAAGAGACAGGTAAGTTCTACTCACTATGCTAGCAATGGACCATCTCCCAGACAGAGTTAACAGTGAAGTTTGCCACAACAGCCGGTCTATCACAGGGCTGAGAAACCTGCCAGGGGGATGGCTACAAGTTCTCATGCCACAGCTGGGAAAAACTATATTGCTCAACTCACTGCTGAGGACCTGCTTCTGCCAAGCATGCTGTGAATGAGGATATAATGCTGGCTCACTAGCTAGACTAGATAAAATAGAGATGAGGAAGAGAGAAACCTAAGGGACTCTGACAGGAGTAAGCAAAGCTAGCTGCCTCACTTATCATCAGTTGTACTGCAATCATGTATATTCATGGTTTTATGGTAAGGGCTAACTCATTGGACCAATATTTTCCCCCAAGTCATATCCAGCTAAATGAATGAAAGTCATGCTAGGGAACAGCTTTTATGGATTTAAAATATTTCTTTTTCTCCAGTACAGTATTAAAAAAATAAAAACTTTTTAAAATACTGAAAATATATTTTAGTTTAGGTAAAAATACTAAATATAAAATTTTAATGTAATATTTAAAATAAATGTGCTATAAAGGCATGTGAATTGCTTAGTTATTTTGACATTCAATAATGGCACATTAACCCTAGTGGAGAAGCATATGCCAGTATACCCACATGGTGGTTTAGGAGAGAAGCTCATGCATTTCTGCATAGAAGACAAATCTGCTTAATAAATGACATCTGAGGGATTTTGAGACAGTAATATTCATGGACTTATAATGCATGGGTGGGTGTTGCAGGTAAGGCAGCGCAGTAGACAGCATTCAATTCTGCACAAATACATATCTGTGCTTATTACGGGTACAGGATTCTCTGCTTCTGAATCGGAAATTTCTTTCTATTTTCCTTTTTCGCTGATGATCAGAAAAGGTTGAAGGTGAAAATCTGTATCGATTTTCATTAGCTGTGCTCATGTCTTTGAGCTGTATATCAGAAAAACTGGAATGAGATAAAGCGAATGTGCTTGCAGCTCTTTCCAGAGGGGAATGATGGATTAAATCATGGGCTAGAATGTGCCTGGATTTCAACACAAGCTGACCATTTGGAAACCGAAAGAGTCTTTAAGAACAGGACTCTAGAGGATTTTTAGAACACTTGTTTTTTGCAACATGCACACAAATGTAGCTAGATAGTAACTCGTCTGTGTGTGAAAAAACCTAAAAATTGAGACATGTATTATGATGACCATCATCACTGTTATTTTTATAGAGCAATGAAATGATAAAATAATCCATCCAAGTTTTCAAGTGGGGAAGCACCTGCACATACGCTATGAATGAACAGTAGCTGGATGTATTAATGCACGTATCAGTTAACTGCAGGTTGCAGAGATCTGGTATTTCAATTCCATTCTTTAAATATCACTGTAAGAGATCATATAATAATAGTTTAAAAAGTACCAAATCATACTTCAGCAGCTAGAGAGAGAGACTGCATCATGTTTTGGCAGTGACTCAATCATCCTACTCCACACTGGCAGCATTCGATATTAAAAGGATAAAATGGCAGCAAAACTGGTCAGCAGCTTCTCTTTGTCTGGAGTTTTCCCAGGTAGATAAACAAAATGAAAACAAAACAAACATAAAGCTGCAATGGGAGCAGGTCAAAGCACTGGCCCTTGCGTTGCTCTGATGAAAGTAAACTAGATTGGTTTTCTTGGATAAGCATATCACAGTCCCCAAATAAATGATAAGTGCATAAAACCTCCAAATAATGATCTTCGCTAGAACAGCTACGTGGTTTGTATGGGACAGTGGCCTTGTCAGCTACGCATCTTGTTCATTAATGGTTCATCTTCAGTCAGCATTATGATGCATTCAGCTCACTAGAGTTTTGGCTGGATGACATGTGAGAGTCCAGATTCTCCTTGCATTTCTCCAGATCATGGAAATATGGGTGAGAGAGGGCAACATAGGCAGATATTCTCTTGGTTGGGTTGAACACTAAGCATTTCTGTAAGTATGAAAAGAAGTTGGTTTTAACTAAAATGTACAATTAACAGGGCTAACATTGCATATATACATTGATGCATGCCACCTTCAGTTTATGATCAGTATGAGACACAACAGGGTATCACTACGGGCTGTACGTTAACATTACTATTCACATTAAAACAAGCAGTGGGGGCATAGTGTATGAATATGGCATCCCCAAAGGTAACAGAAAATAACAGGTTAGAAAATTCAAGTATTCATCGTTTCGGAAATTCCATAATTCAGGTTTTCTTGAATTCACACGCACAGAACACCTGTCTCACAGGCTGCAGGGAGCAGCTATCCATGAACAACATTTGCATCCCTCAGTGTTCAATGTACTGTTCTTTTGGGGTTATACAAACACAAATGGCATCAAAAGGTTCATTCCTTGGCTTAGTATGTCTATAGGCACTGGGTCTTTGACTTTGTAGCCTTTGTATGCTAATGTCTTGTGTTTAGTTTCTGCCTCTTCTTCCTATGTGTACTTTGCTTGCTATCCTTCCAGATACTTATCCCAGCCTCTGCCCAGCCAGCACTGAAATCTCTCCTTGTGTGGCCTTGTGTTTTATACCTTGTTCTCCTCCAGACAGTATTTTCCCCACTATTCCTTATCTAAGCACGTCCTACTCCTATTTTATTTTCTTGTATCATAATTTCTGTCATTAACTTCTGAAATCTAATTCAGTGACTTCCAGTCCTACTCTCCCGTTTCTTCTGTGGCTGGCTCCCAGTTCTCATGCCTTTGCCTAACTCTTCCCACTTTACCTTCTACACATAGATACTTGTCTTTTTCCTTCCTCTCATCATGCCTCAAACTCACTGAGCGCTCTGCCATATTTATTCCTTGTTGTTCTCAAAATCTAATTCTTGTCCTATGTCTAAGCTTCACTTTCCAGGCTGCAAGACCAACAGATGTGCTTCTCCTGTCATTTCAAGCGCCCAGATGTAGTCCAGAATTTGTTCTAGAGAACAAATTTATCTAGATTTCAACAGCACAGCAAAAGGCAAACTGAGGCAAGGCCATTCCCTATATTCCATTGCAAGACTGAACTTCAGGGCTGGGGTTTATAACATATCTATAAAAATTACAGAAACAATTTAATTAAATTCAGTGTTACCAGTTGTGCCAGCACAATTTGTTTGCTCCTGTTCAATCCTGCCATTTGTAAGAGGCAACAGCTGCTGAGTTCCAAATCTCAAGTTTTCAGGATTCACTAGAAGGCGTGCAGCTGTAATCTACCTCTATGGCTTACTTTCTACTTTATACTGGGTCCACTAAACCATGCAAAATGGCAGATCATTTTTTGCACTCAGGTCAATCTTATACTATGAGAATGGCTGAATCCTTGGCACAACTGTGTTCAGTAATGAGGATCTAAGCATAAGCTCTAAAGACAAGTCAAGCAGGCGCTTCCTTGACACTTTTCTAGTCTCTAACTGTTCTCATCTCTAACACCTCTTGAGTGTTTTTGTGCTGATGTTTCACGGATTTACATGAATTTGTCTACCTAATTTTGAGCTTTTCTTTAATAACGTCATTAAAAGGAAGCATAAATGTTTCTTGGCACGCTGTTTTTCCCCAGAACTATATCCCCCAGTGCAATGGGAACTATCAGTCATGCGTCCTGGAGAACAACAAACAGCAACTCACAAGAAGCAAGTCTTTGCCCAGTTCATCAATATCTGGCACAAATTTTTCAATAGGTTGTGCGGGTCTGGAAGTGAAAGCATTTCTTGGAAGGGCAACATCATTAGGCCAGTCTTCTTCTTCTGGGAGTCCAATTACACTGTGAAAGGAAAAACATAATGTCAGGTCTGCACATTTTATACCCTCTCCCCTTTATATTGATTATACTGAGTGGCAGTTTACTTCATAAGTCTTCTTGTTTAAATGAGATTGATTGTACAAGTAGTACACTGACCTCTGTGCACAGAGGCTGATTAAGTTCTCTGTGTGTTTGGTAGAAATCATTCTGTGGCCATCACAATTTTCTGGCCTACATCTCAATTTTCTGTGTCTTTTTGTTGAAAACGGGCTGAGTGCTTTGGAAGAAAGTTGCTCAGCTCTTGACTGGATGGTGCAACATATGTCGCTCCGGGATGATTAAAAGCAGTAAGTTTCAAAGGGGAATTGCATGCAAGGATCTTTATTCACAAGAATAGAGACTGAGAGAAGAGTGTGGGTCAAGATGAGGGTAAGGCAATAAAAGGGATGTTTCATAATGCTTCAAAGCTATGTGCGTAATTGTTGCCCAAATTTAAACAATTTATTTGCTTCACAATACAGGTTTTAAAGTCTCAGCTCTGAAGGGGCATGGGACTTGAGTGTCATTATGTTGTTTTCTTTTTACTTTGTATTTTTGTTTTTCTTTACCCTTTAAAAAAATATTTTCAATTTTTATAATTCCTTTATTCTTTAAATTTTAGAAGATATTTATACTTGTTAAATAATCATGCTAAGGTTTAAAAAACAAATAAATGAAATAATACATAAACCTCCAATGATGGATCATGTCTCACAAATTTTGTGTTTTAGTCTGATGCTAATATTGGTGGTGTTGAAACAGCAGTTTCTGAAGGAATTTTTGGACAAGAGCATGCGTTACTTGCCAGGCTTCAGGAAAAATCAATTTTTACAGCCTGTAAAATGGAGATTTTTAGTGGAAACGCTGACAGAGTAAAAAACGAGGGACCACAAAAAACCATCACTGAATACTTGGGTCTGCGCTAAACCAAATGCCGCTAGGGAGCAGCATTGACCTTCTTCTAGGTGAGGTTGGTAGTGTGACTAGGCTATTTACATCAACATTTTGCTCTAAATCATAGGGTTACCTCAGTGAGCTTATTGGAACTCCCCATCTACCTACATGGATTTTAGACGGTAATTTCGCTCACTGAAAATACCTCCAAAAACTAGTATATCCTCAAAACAACCGCATGGCTAGAAGGGCAAAGCAATTAAAATGTCAGGACAATGTAATTTTCCCACACCTGAAGATACCACAGCTTTTGGGAAAAGATAAGTTAAATCTGTATGAAAAATTGGGTTCTTCTTTTATCATCACAGGTATAGTGGGGTATGGGGCAATTCCCTTGGCCATGGTGGTTAAAGCTATATAATTATCTATTTGAGGGTCTGGACCCGTATTAAATATAATGCAAAGAGCACTGTAGTACGATACGGGAGTTAAATGTTTTAAATAACAATGAACTTTCACCTGCCATTCAAATGTGTTTGGTTAGTCCCAAATTTTTTAGCATTTGCATGAGAGTTCATAAACAGGACAGAGTAAGCACAGGCAAAGCTTACAAAAAGAAACAAGGAAGCAGACTGTCAGGTAGGGTGCACAAGACCAAGAGTGGAAAGGAGAGACATTTTCAGTTATACACTCATGTACTACTCAAAACTCTAATAATGAATGTCAGAGTAGGTGCCCTCACTCTGGTTTGGTAGCACTACCATTTCAGTGACTAAGTTTGGGAGCATCTTGGATGAGTTTCACGTCCTGCCAAAGGTTCAGGCCTGGTCTTGAGAAAAGCCAAGTACTTTCCACTTCCATAGATCAAAATGGGAGACAAGTCTGCTCAAACCATTTCAGCATTTAGCCTGAAATCTGTGAGGCTATCCCACACTCTGATGGCGACCTGGAAAAGCAGAAAAATGTTTTGGGCTGCCTCTGAGGGATTTACCCTCATGTATGGTGGGATTTTACCTGATGCAAATTGGAATGCACTGGTAAAGCTAAGGTAGACCATAACCCCATTATCTGAAAGAATGCAACAGTCCAGACTACACAAAAATCCCGAAACTACTTTCTGTCCAAATTAGTCTGCAGAATGAGTCACTACTGTAGAAAGAAACAGCCCTCCTACAAAAAGAGCTATGCCTAACTGTAGGGGGTTCTCCAGCTGTGAAAACACAACATAAATACTATTTAACATAAGCCCCTCAGAATCCAAGAAAGAAACTTTTGAACTATTTAAGGAGAATTGCACAAAAGAAGGAAAAACAAACTTTAAATAGATGTGTAATAAGGTATTTCTTCTAAAATTAGCACAGCATTTTCTTTTCTTGATGAATTCTTTTCTGCACAGGTAATCTCAGCCCCTAGGGATGGAAAGATTGCTGCTGGAGGCTGCTGCTAGCATTTATGTATTTAATCCTAGTCCAGTTCATTTTGATTTTTCACCTTAAATGTCACAAGAATCCTTCAAAAAATCACAGCTATGTCCTTTTTAATTATAAATTATGTTGATGTATCAAAACTGTCTTCATTGAATAAAGAAGAATATTGTAGGACTAAAGCAGTGGCTTTGGCAGAAGAAGAATAAGTAAACTTTATGGACTCATTTTTCTGGATTGGGCAGGAAGAGCTATTCAACGCATGACAAATTAACCACGCAAGTGAGTCACATACACTGGTATGGTATGCAGGAAAGGGAAGTCAACTGTGTGAAATAAAGACCTGCAATTTGTGAACCTCATATTAAATAGTGAAAATGCTTAGAAACAGATCTGTTATGATTTGAGAACTGGAAAAATGGTTAACTGGAGAAATTCAGTATTTGTTCTGTTTAAGCACTTCTCCTTAGAAATTTTACTGTCTTTTCTTTGTAATATCTTCCAAGAGAACAGTATTTCAGCCTTCTCTCTTTGGTACCTATTTCTTACTTCATCTGGATCCCCAAAGCCCCTCCATATGAAAGAGAAGACAGAGATACAGAGGCAAATCAGTATCCATCCTCTGGAGTGGGACCATCCCTACGTGGCCTTGATTTCTTAAGTACATGATACATATATAAGATCTAAAATTTACACGGTTCTTCCAAATTCAGCAATGTTCCTTGCTCTGAAGAGCTTTTAAAAGAAAAAGTGATATAATCCTACTTAATTATCTGTAAAATCAATAACTTAATTTTTTTTTTTTTTTTAACTAAGAACATATTTTGAATGAGAATTATTCTTCCCCAGAGAGTCTAGAGCCTCCCCACCTCCCAGACTTTTGATATCTCTGATGAAAAAAAGCACAAACTCCTAGAACTGTAAAACGGCTTTAAAATAAAGCAAATTAGTTAATCTCTGACAAAGCGTATGTTAAAATGCTGATATTCCTTCTGTTCTCACAGCTAACTGTGAGACTAATATGGACTGTGAACAGTCTACACAGTAATATTTTAAAAGCTAAAATATGTTCTGATGTACAGAAGCCTTTTATTCAAAGAAGCTGTTGGTAATAATCTTAGAGAGTTCAGTTTAATAACAATTTTAAGTATTCTAATGTTGTTTTCTGAAATACACAAAGAAGTTAACAAAAAGTAAAACCTTTGCATTTGTTTATGTGAAGACAATCTCTTGGATTAAATTGTTTAGGAATATGCAAGAATGATTCACGCACAATATGTTTAAGAGATTCAAAAAGTCCTAAAGAGAAGTCCCTTGTAACTTCCTGATAATGGCTGTTAATTCTGCAAAACTATATTCCATGTTGCTTCCTCCTCCACTGACACAGAATACACAGAAATATCATGTTGCATACGCTAGCAATAGGAAATATGTTCTAGGAATACTTTGTTCTAGTCACATTATTGCATAAAAACATGGCAAAGAAACCTCAGAAAGTTTCAATGTTAAACAGATATTGACATAATGAAGCTAGTTATTACTTACTCAAAGATTTTTCCTAGCTGATCAACATCTGAATTTCCACGGAAGAGTGGTCTGAAAAAATAAAGAAGTATTTTTAAGATGTGACTCGGTTTAATTAACAATGAATTTATATTTGTCATTGACACCTGCCAACATAGTATAAAACATGTTATTTTTTTTGAGACCTCACTTCTTCTGCCTCCATGTTTTATCCTGTCTGTGAGAGCACCTTCCAAGTTTCTCCTGAAACTGATAATAAAACTGACAGATGAGACATAGTTTTAAATACACTACTTTTGAAAATTTGTGTCCTTTAACATGAAGTTATTTTCCCTCAACTAATACTATCTTATGAATTACATCATTAACAGAATAATTTTCACTGTAAAGAACATACTCAAATAGCTGCTTAGAGAGACAAAAACAGAGTGAATGTCATGCAACTCATTAAAATATAATCAAATTAGAGATGAATTGTAATGGATATAAATTTAAAATTAAATTTCTTGTGTCTGCATATTGGAAATGTGCTCCTAGGTTCAAAGGCTCAAATAAATGACAATGGATTTATGAAGGTCTGTAAAGAATGGGGTGTGAGACGGTACAGAATTTACCTTGAAGGAGAGGAATACTTCTGCTGCATAAATAAAGATATGTGCAGGAAAGAAACAAATTAATAGGCTGAATGTCCAAAGGCTTTCAAAAAAACAGCGACTAAAAATACTTTCAGAGTGGTACACATTTCTTTCCAAAGTGCAACTTAAAATATTTTCACTCATCATTTATAAAATGCTGTCACTCTATTGTGCCTAAGTAAAATATGAAATTCAGATTTGTATGGCTGCATGGCCACCCTTGTGTTGAATTCAGTAAGGTGTGATCAACCGTGCAATTTTGTGTTTAAACTCCCAAGACAGTCCAACAGATTACTAATGGATGAAGGATCCAGCCAAGAATGAGGCCATCTGTGAAGATCAGGCCTGAGGTGTTGCTTACCATTTTGGTTCAACAAATGGTAGATTACTCCAGAAAACACTATTCAGATACACTGAAAACTGGATACTAATTTGGGTCGACTGATAGCCAGGCTGCCCTTCTCTTCTGGAGCACAGCTCAGAGTACAGGGTGTGCTGTAAACTTCCAGTTTCCAAACCCGTTCAACTGAGACTTAGTGACTTAAGTAATGAGTATTCCCATGTTTTCACTGTCAGCCTTTAGTTACAGGGAAACATTGGTTTTCCTGCCTCTCTCTGCCTACTCATTTTCTTCTGTCTGATACACATCCTTAACGGTACTGATAGCCAAAGACATTTCACTGTTGCTGTTCAAAGGAGAAGACCTCTCCCATCTGCACTGGGAGGACACGAGGGACTCAGCTATAGTCCTTCCCCTCTCATTGCCCATATGCAGAAGCAGGTGTAGAATCTGAAATCCTTTTGCTAACCACAAGTTATTTCTGAAAATTCGTGTTTTATATCATGACACTCTCACACAGACAAGAGCTCCAATGTCACTGCCTGTCTTGTGGATCCACACCAAATACAGGAAGAAGACCCAGAGCACTGTGACATTTCTCAGTTAAACATAATAATCTGCAGAAAGCATGCCACCAAGAAACACCTGGTCTAGTGGAAAGTGTCCCTGCCCATGGCAGGTGGGCTGGAACTAGACAATATTTAAGGGTCTTTCCAACCCAAACCATTCTATGCTTCTATGGTTCTAAAAAAACCAGCAGAGCAATAACTGGAAGATATTCTGACCATCTTTGATGGACTGAATATGCATTTTGTCTCCTTCATGCTTACTGCCATTCAGGTCATGTCATACTGACTTACACTGCAAACTGCTTTGTGCAGGGACACTGAGAGAACAATTTCACCAAGTCCAATTTGAAACCATATGACATCAGATTGAAACGGACAGGGTAAAATGCAGTAGCCTCTTATCCATAAAGGGCTTTATTTATTTGACACTGAATAAATAATAAATAATGGTATATGCTGCTTCCCAGATGTATATGATATTTACTGACTGCGCGTATCTGGAGGTATATAATAGGGGTACTTTTTTAAGCTTTAAAAGTATTCAGCAATTCTGGCTTCTACGAAAACCCAGCGCTTCACTCAGACAGGAGCATCTATTGCTGCTGTAATTTTTGAGCCCAATTTTCAAAATGGTCAGCAGCTACAATCCTAGTATTGTTCACGGCAGCAGACACACTCCTTATCTTCCAAAGACAGACAATACAACAATTTAGACATTTTTTTGTTTGAATGGCTACTTAAATGTATTAATATGAAGATAATGTGCGTATTTAATTTTGGCTTCAGCATTAGAATATTTAGGCCCTTTAAACTAACAAAATCTACACAATCAAATAATCCTATCCATGAAAATGGGAAGGTGATTTAATGTTTCAAAATGTTTGCTGAACCTTGCATTAATGTGAAAGCTTGGCAAAGTCATCCTTGTTTGCGAATCACCTTAGGCAGTGTCATGCCAAAACAAGTATAATTCTTGGGATTTTTAAGGGAGGTTTTTCCCATCATTGCTGCTGTCTCAGATTCACTGGGGGCTGAAGCAAGAATTTAAATTCTTTTGAATATATAATTATACAACACAAGGTGACCTTCCAACATACTTTGATATTTCATCATAATGAAGTGTTATTAATTCATCTTTCAACCTCCTATCCATCCCACCATCATGACTACAACAGATTGCCAACTCCAGGTTAGGCACCACTAATGTAATGAAATTTGCCTCATGAATTTTGGCTGGAGGTTCAATTGGAATACTGGACGGATGATTGGGGAAGTAGATTCACTTAATCAGCAGCTGTACGAAGATCTCGTCTCACATTTCGGCACTAGTTACTCTTTAGCAATGACTTGCCAGCACTGCAAGTCCAGTACACATAAAAACTTTCACCTCAAGCTGATTGTTTTTTTAAGTCTATTCTTAAAGGTGCACATCAGCTCTACCAGTACCATTGAACTGGGACCATATCCAGCAGTCACAGAAATGCAGAATTTCACTTTTGTTCTTGGTATCTTTCATTTGACTCACTCACCCATTCACCCCCTGAGGTTTATTTATGCAAACTCAATCCAGAAGTCCTTGCTTGGGGATATGTTCTCTCTGTGATGATAATCTGTGTAAGACTGGTTGGACTCTGAGAGCTGATTTGTAGAATTCCTTCTTTTTCCCTTGGGAAAGGCATGGAGCTGGGTTTGTCTTCTGTGGCAGAAGATGTGTGTCCTCTGACTTCAAACAACTTCTAAAATCTGTGTGTTCGAGTGTCTCAGGAAAGAGGGATACTCCAATGAAGGAAAGGGCTATCAATAAGGATACACTTGCCTTTTGTGTGGTTCCTTGATCCTCTCAACCTTCCCTGACTTTACTTGCTACAGAATCCATGCTCTGAGGGCTCCAACACTATTGCTGATACAAAATACACACTTGAGCAGGGAAGAAAATGGGATGAAAAGACTTACAGTGTACCCAAGACATTTAATTTCCCTATTTGCTCAAGAAGTTTTAGTTCTATGATTCTATGATTTTATGATTCTACGTTGCTGTGTCTCCATAACTTCCTATTTTTGTTGGTTGCTGCTTTTTTGATTTTTTAGGGAGAGAGGAGGAGGAAAATCAAGTTACAGGTCAGTGGTGCCCAGTGACAGGACAAGAGGCAATGGGCACCAACAGAAGCACAGGATGTCCCCTATGAACATAAGAAAACACTTCTTTTACTGTGAGGGTGACTGAACACCAGCATAGGTTGCCCAAGGAGGTTGTGGAGCCTCCCACCTTGGAGATATTCAAAAGCCATTTGGACATGATACTGGGCAACTATTTCTAGATGGGCCTTCTTGAGCAGTTGGGGTTGGACCAGACGATCTCCAGAGGTCCCCTCCAACCTCAACTGTTCTTTGATTCTGTGATAACACAGAAATAAAAACACAGTTCATGACATAAGGTTGCAATGCAAAACCTCACAAATCCTGAAAAAGTTACTATCTGCTTACAGTTTAGAAGGACTTGCACTACTGATCTTCTGCCTGAAAAGTTCTCATGCCTTTATGTAGCTGAACAAATTAAATTTCACCATTTACCAACCTGAGGCTCTTTTCTCTTGTCCAAAGGAATATACTCAGCTCATGTTGTTTTCTGTGCTGAGTCTCACCTTCACTGAATATTCTGTCTGTCTGAACTGGATATTGGTGTCTGAAAGGTTGAGTGCTTTATTTTAGTACTTTATTATAGACACTGTGTTTCATGTCTGTGCTACTCAGTAATAACTAAGTTATAAACATTTCCTAAGCAAGTCTCCATGAAGAAATTTTCCCTGGTGCAACTCCATGGACGTGCCAAAGCAATGCTAAAAGTATTGTATACAATGACAATGCAATGACACCCAAGAGATAAATAAATGAGGTTTACCTGTAAAGCGGTCACATTACTTCTAGGCTTTACTTTCAGCCTTTAGTCTACAAAGCAAAGAGGTTCCGTGACCTTTTGTAAGAAAAGTTAGAATTTTCATAGATTGGAATTAAAGAAATTAATAAGCACTGCTCTGGTCTATCCTGCAGTGCAGATGCCAGGCAAAAAATAGTCAAACCCATGTGTGTTGAGACACAGGAAAAGATGTCTGCAGGTTTCTTGACAGTGGCATTCTGAACCAATTAGTGACACTTTAATCAGAAAGATATCTTTCAATTTCTGACATTGAATTATTAAACTGCATGTAAAATAGATACACCGAGGAAAGGTCACGTGAAGAAAAGCTTTAGTGAAGAGGGGGAAAAAAATGTCTAGAAATTCATTTTCTAATCAAAACATATTACAGAGCCTCCATGACAATTCTAGAGTTGGCAATCCAAGTGTCTCCAAGGCTAGACAAGCCTTGTTTCCTTCCAGATATGTAAGAAGTAACTACCAAAATAACTATCTAGTTTCTGCTAGTCCATTTGCTCAGTAGGATGACAATACCAGTTGGGGAATCCCATCCCCTTTCTTGTTATCACAGAAAGAACAGTAATGATAATCTCTTGGTTACTAACTTGAATATA